GAGAAAAGGCCATAGGTCCGCTGGGGTGGGGCTTCCCGGCTTCCCGCGCCTGCACCCCGTTGTGGCCCCACTCTGGGCACCCCAGGACTTTGCTCAGCAGCGCTGAGCCCCACCTTATTCTAGAAAGCTTCCCTCACTGGGTCGTGTTTGCTCCGGCCAGCTCTCCTGTCTTCCTTCTGGGTCAACTCAGATTCTCAGCAGGTTTTCGAGGAAGAAAGAGAGCAGAAAAAAGAAAACGGAAAACCCATCATTGCCCACAGCAGCGCTGCCTCCTAGGAGAGAGTGTTTGCTTTTGGAATAGTCTTACTTAGCAAAACTCAGCGAGGTGGCCTTGGACCAAGAACAGCTAGTTCGGCACAAGAGCATTCTGCAGTCCGGAGCGGACGGCTGGCGGGACTGTGGGGCCCAGACTGGGCCTTTCATGGCGAGGGGGGATTTTACAGAAGAGTGGCCAAGGTGCAGTCTGAATGTGAAGCCCCCAAACTCCCCACACTGTCAACTGACCTCTGAGCATGCGAGCGGCCCTAGGGGAGGGAGCCAGAGCTTGGGGTGGGGGAGGGACGGTGGGTATGGCCCAAGGACCCAGGCACTGCCCCTAAACCAGCAGGCCCAACACCCCAAGTGAGGTGATGGAGAGGTGTGAGCCCCACGGCAATCCCCGGAGAGGCAGGAGGGGGCGGCAGAGAGAAAACAAATCTTGTCCAAAAGGATGGAGAGTATCTGAGGACAGCAGAGCTCCTGAGCTCACAGGCTTCACCCAAGTCCAGGGACTTCACGTGGAAAAGAACAGGCGCTATTAAATTAGATCACTAAATCTGCCTTATTCACGTATAAGATGATAAGTATGTATTGTTTCTGGGTTTTGGGGTTTTTTGGTCCTTGACTACCACCATGAAGGATTTCAATGCCAAATTCAAAGTCTTTAGCAGAAGCAACAGCCACTTTTATTTAAAAACAGAACAGAAGTGCCCAGGGACAAGTCCTGGGCCCGCAGAGTCCTAAAGAGCAACTGCGAGGAAAGTGGGTGGCTCCTGGCTTAAGTGGGGTGCAGGAGCTGCTTGCTCTGCCCCTTTCCGGTTGTGCCACACAGGCCCTTCAGGGGTGCTGCTTTATTGGCCCAGGCAGGAGTTTGTAACCCCCCTTCTACTGTAGTTCCATCAGCCCTGTGAGTGGGGGGGTCTTCCTGCCCCACCTTGCCTTCTCACACTCCAGGGGCGAAGGCCCTTGTTATCAGCTTGTCTGTAAGCGGGCGTGGGAACTGCCGGTCCCTCTGGGTGTTTCTAAGCGCTCCCCAGGCTTATTGGCTTTTGCCCGTTTCCAGGGATCTGAATACAGTTGAAGGTTCAATTTTCTCCAGGCATTGCCATCCTGCCCTAACAGTGTGTGCCCCTTCAAGATGAGGGTTCCCTGTGGCTGTCCAAGGCCACGCAGGGTCAGGGAAGCAGAATCTATGCTGCATATTTAACCCAATATATTGGGCCTGGCGTCTGCGGTTGCTAAGGCCCATGGGGCCCAGGTCCTTGAGGTCCACACCCTGGGAACCCCACCTCATCAGGGGGGTTCCACCCTGCCAGGGGCCTCCACCCCAGGGCCCAGGCACCTGGACTGGGCTGCAAGGTTGGCTTACTCAGTTTGGTTGGAAAGTGCAAGGAGCTCCCTGGTATTACCGAAATGTTCTGTTTAGGAGTTTCAAGAACGGCTGATTTTTCAACTCAAAAATGAATGGTCCTTACAATAAAGTATTTGTGTGATGTCTTTCTTAGGGAAATCTTCCCTTTAATTAGTAAGCCAGGTTGGCCATAGAGGCCACGCCCACTCCCCACACTGACTTCACAGGGCTCCTTGGCCTTAAACCATTTAGGGCTGGAGCCATGGGATTAGTCCATCGCAAAGGATCTCACTGTAAGTCATGTTCTGTAAACAAAACATCAGGTCACTAACTAGGTCAGTTAGTGTCAGGGCAGGTGGTAACAGTGGCCTTTGCTTGCCCCTCAAAGCTCTTCACCAGCAACTAGGTAGAAAAAATACTACAGTAAGGGAAACAAAAACTCTAGGGGAAAAAGGTCAAGGGATTTCAAGAGGAAAGGGTGGAATACCAAATATGCTTAACAGAAGCCCATCCCCCAGGAAAAAGAAGGCAACAGAAGGAAACTATGACCCAGAACTCCCCCCTCCCCTCCAACACACCCAGAATGATTTGAACCTGTGTGTTTAAAGGGCGTGAAGCTGGGACACAGTACTAGAAAATCAACTGTGAGACATAGTTATAAAGATTATTAATCCCCTGAGCATAAGGTGAAATAACCAAGTTATTCATACGGGGTTAGACCGACACAGAGCACTTTGAGGTGAAGAAAATGGGGTGAATGGGGGAACAGTACAGGTGCCCAAGAAGGAAATGCAAGCCAAGAATCTTTCATTTATTTTCAACCGAAGTGACCTTCAGGCCACAAACAGTGGGAAGTTAAGGGGCTAACTTACCCTTCTGGAGTCATATTAAACAATGAGCTTCAGGAAATCACGCATTTAGAGCAGCTTCTGTGAGTGCTGGGAGCACCGGCTGGATCCACCTGGAGAGGGAAGACTGAAGGGGGCAAGAGTGAAAACTGCTGTGGACTTGTTACTTCCTCTGAGAACAAAGATACAGTTCAGCTATCAAAAGTGGGGAGCGAGGGAAGGATGCTGGTTGCCTTAAAAACATTATTTAGCCCTACTCAGAGATCACTCAGCTACTTTGGGAAAAGAGGGGTGAGGCTCTAATTCTAATATTGTCCATAGGAGGGACCTCAGGTCTGACCATCAGCACCTCCTGGGTCTGCCCCTAAAATCAGGGGGCTCGTCTCTGTTCTTTCTGCTTTGTGCTCACTGCGTTCTGGCACTGTGGGAGGTGATGGGGTGGCCTCCCGCCAGGGCCTCCCTGGTGGCCTAGGGGTTAAGGCTCAGCTCTGTCACTGCTACAGCCTGGGTTTGATTCCACAGCCAATTGCTGACTCACAGGGCGAAGCAGACCTCTGTCTGGCCAGCTGCTCCCCTCAGCAGTGTATTTCAGTAAAAATCTGCCTGTTCTGCTCCCCACTGTCTCAGTGAATCCTCTCACACCTGCCCCCTCTTTGGCCTGCACCCTGCTCTATGCTAAATAAAGGTAGATACACCTGTCACATGGCATCAGGTACTTATCCGGCTGGGAAAAAGCCTGGGGGCAGAAGATTGCAATGGGAAGTGGTGTAGTTTGTACCCAAGCCTCTTTTTAGATACTCAACAGCCTATCTATGTCTCCCTCACATTTCTGGAGTGAAGAAGCTGGGGCTTTAGACCTGCATAGAAGAGGGTGCATGTCCACAGAGGTAAATTCCTTGTGCAGCAAGGGCTGTGATACCCAAGGTCTGCAGGAGTGGGGCTGATCTTGGGGTGGAAGCAGGAGGAACCGGCACAGGGGAGGCAGGACTGGAGGTCATGGGGAGGGGAGAGGACTCCCTTATGGCTGGGGTGGCAGGGGACAGTTCCCGGGAGGAGGCACCTGTCACCCCTCCATGTTCAGACTGGTGAGCACCGGGTGAGGTGGGCAGGACCAGATCCAGGGTCCTGGGCCCCAGAAGTTGGTGGTAAGTCTTTTGGGGTCACTTACTCCTCATCACCCTGGACCTCTCATGATGCCTTCAAGAGCGCTGAAGTTTCAAGAGCGCTGAAGTTTTCCGTGGTTGGGTCATATGGGAGGGGGGCTCAGTCTTACCTCCAATCTAAAGAACTACACTAAACCCACGAGTCTCCTCTCCCTTTCAGGATTCCCTACGGGCGACCACCCATTCTCGCTTCTCTCCACCAGCATCCCGATCAAGGTATAAGCTGAGCGAGCACACGAGCACGGTGAGATGTACTGTTTCACATTTAATCAATTACATTACAAAGTCACATACAACCTCAGACCACCCAGTGTGGGGGCCCCTTAAAAAGGAGGGGGCATCCAGCCTCCGTCCTTCCGTGGGTTTGCTCCCGGGACCCAGGCAGAGCCGCTTTGCCTGCTTCCTCCGGGCCACAGCTGTGCACCCTCACCGGCTGGCTTCTGAGTCTAAGCAGGGACCCGGGCTGCTCTCAGGTTCCGGGGGGCCACAGGACTCCCGCACCTGCTTGGCCACAGCGGGCTGTTGCTGGCCTGGTGGCGTGTGGGCCGGGGCCACAGCAGACAGTTGTTCCGGAGTACAGCAAGGCGGCCTGTGCCCCACAGCTGGAGGTTCACCGAGCGGAGTGGGCAGCAGCTGGTGACCAGTGCTGCGAGGCATAGTGGGAGAGGGAGGCTGAAGACTGGCGGGCAGGCGAGTGGCCAGAGCGCAGGTGTGGCGGGGCATCTGGAGGAAGGCCCCCGGTCCTGCCCAGAGTCAACGTGCCTGGGGCCACAGGGGTGTGTTCTGTCCATGTCCTCGGGGGCCGGGTGTGGGTGGCACAGAACACACAGGGGGGAGGATGAGGTGGACATGGCATGAACATCCCCGCTGCGGCCTGCAGGACTCAGGGCTCAGGAGACTGGGAGACAGCGCAGCCAGACCTGGGACAAGAAGACCAGCAACGACAAAAGGAATCAAGACAGGCCCATGAGAGGCTGGGGTGGAGGGAGAGCTGAGGGAGCAGAGCTGCTGGGGGTCTGGACAGGGTCGCCTGGTGGCCAGGGCTGGCCCCCAGAGTGACCAGAGGTGCGGACCACCTGGCTTCGGAATGCGATTGTGAGCTGGCCAAGCCGATGCCCTTCCTCAAAATCTTAGTTGTGACCCTCACTGTGCAATTCCACCTCAGCGGCGGACGCACCAGTCAAGCCTGGAGGCTCTGGACATTGCGTGTGACAGCCCAGGGTGTGAGCTGGCAAAGGAGAGCGCGTGGCTCCCTGCCCTGGGGCCTCACAGGGCAGCACAGTCGGGTGGGGGCCGCACCGCCCACATGGAGAAGGGCTGTCCTCCTTGTGACCTGGCCACTCTGGATGGACAGAAGTGGGCCTCAAGGTACTCACCAGGTCACTCTTCGGGGTCTGGTAGCTGCTCCAGGAGCAAGTCCTCTATGCCGCCGAACTGCGGGAGAGAAGGGCACTGGAGACTGGAGCCCCCCAGTTCTACTGCCCCCTGGGCTTCCACTGGCTGGGAGCAGCAACAGGAAACCAGTGTGGGGGGGTTCAGGGTCTCCTGGAAGACCACCCCTTCGCCCACCTTCACTCTGTGACTGCACCCCAGAGCGCACGAGGAGGCGGAGGGGTCAGCCATGCGGCTCTACCTTCTAACCCAGTCCTTATGGGAACTGACTGTGAATTCCCGCCTGCAGGCGCAGCCACGGAAGGCACAGACACACTGCAGAGAGCAGACCCTGGGCAGCAGGGGTCAGGGCCCCCCAGAGCCCCAGCTGGGTCCTGGGAGTGGCACACACTTGCCTCAATGTGGTACACGATGCGCCAGAAGCTGGAGTCAGACGCTCGGTAACGTCTCCCGGGGTAGAGCTGCCACATCAAAGGCAGCAGGCTGGGGGGCAGCTGGCTGGGGCGCATGGCCTCCCCCAGGGGCACGTCCTCCTGACGCATGAGCACCTGGAGGCCAGTCTCAGTCTGAAAAGAAGCCCGTGTACCTCAGGGCCTGGGCCCCAAGTCCTTCCTGCCCCCACCCAGCATCTCAGCTGGGGTCTGCTGCCCGGGGAGCGCCGGTCTCTGCCATGCCAGCTCAGGTCAGGCTGGGCCTGGGCCACCGGCATGCAGAGGTCCAGACAGCCACATGGGGTCACACAGGGCTCGCTTTTTCCTGACAAACGTCTAGTTTCTGGGTTTGATTTCCACACAGGTCTCTGCTCAAGTCTTTATCCATAAAGACAAATGTCGGCAAAATTTGACTCCGTGGCATGTGTAAGTGGTCGGCCTCAGAGGTGCGGATAAGCTGGGCAGGGGCAGACAGGCCTGTGCAGGCCCAGGCTCCAGGCCTCTCGCCTGCACGCCCGCCCCAGGCCCCAGCACTCTCCCTCCGCTGAGGGCCACACACTTACCACCAGGCCCAGTGTTCTGACAGTCCTCCTTTCCCAGCAAAATGGCACAACTAGTGGGGTTTGGTCATGTTCACTTGCCGAACCCCCTAGACCCATGCTTGGGACATAAAGGAAGCACCCAAGATGGTTTCCGCGCTGCAAGCTTTTTAAAATTTTCTGTCTATGGAAAAAATCGGAAATCTGTTCAAACAGATCAGATTGGAGGTGTGTGGAAATCATACCTTTCATAGCTTTGATCCATTTGGGGTCTGTATTATTCAGCTTTCACTTGTTGACTTAAGCATCTCTTTACCTATGGGGAATACCGGTTCTTTCGTTTGCCAGGGATTGTATTTTGTGCAGAATTTATGATGATTATATAAAAAATCCTGCTTTGTGGTTTGGTGTCATTTGAAGAAGTTTTGGCTCAGCCAGAGAGGAAATGGAGATACTCACTCCAATTTCTTTAAGGACTTGACTTCTAAATATTTCACTTGATTTCAAAACTTTAAGTGCCAGCAAAGATGTGATGACCACGAGTCTGGAGCCCAACCCTGCTACCTACCACTCGCTCACATTAGCCACTTTATACCCTGATTTCCTCATCTGTAAAATGGGGGTGCAGTTACACAGTAACTTCTTACTGTTTGTTTCACACTACTTAAATGCCCGAATAGCACATGTATCTGATTTTCTGACTCCATCTTTTCTTTTTTAGCTCATCTACGGGAACAGTTTTAGCAGCTTTCACTGAAGTTGCTTTGAGAAAACCTAGGCTGTAAAGAAAGCATTTGTAAGAAAGTTACATTTCTTGAAAAAACAAAGTGAGTTAGCCGCTAACTTAAGCTCCAGCTCAGGCGTTCCACACACCGACTTCGGCGCGATTCAGCAGGGTTCTATACCACTTTGGAAAGAAGTGGAGTCCCCCAGAGCACAGAGAAGGACGAAGCACCCTAAACTCCAGGGCAGTGGTTTCTAAACCCGGTTGCTCACCGAGGAGCTTCCGGAAGTCAGCGGCTAGAACGAATGACTCACTTACTTTAGAGATATTTCATCTATTTTATGGATTAGGACCCAGGAACCCAGAAAAACTCCGTTTTACCCAAGACTGAATGCACCCACAGCCCCGCCATCCCTGACAACGCCTTCCTGTTTCTCTACCCTCCTTTCCTGGCCCGTGACCTTGCAGGCATCCTCCACAGTCCCGCTCCAAGTGCTTTCACCTGTGAGCTTCTGGGGTGGCCAGGGGCAGAACGGGCCTCCTCCTCCAAACTCCCCGCCCCCCTCGCTGTGGCCAGGGGGTGGTCCAGGCTCCCCGGGTTGAGTTAGAGAGGGTGACCCCATGCTGTCGTGCCCAGCAGGACCCTAAGGCGGCTGTACCTCGATGGTAATGGGCAGCCAGGGGCGCTGGTACTCGTCCACATACACGCCGGTGTTCCAGATCCACAGGTGGTCCGGGTCCAAGGATGCGTGCACCCTGAAAGGGAGCTCGCCCATAGCGCCCAGGGCGGTCCCAGGAGGAAAAGCTGGAGCCTCTTGAGGCCACTGGCTAATGTGCAGGGTGCAGGGTTCAGAAGCTTTATAGCAGCAGGGCCCGGGTGCGGGCGCCCCCAAGCTGCTGGGCGGCTGGAAGGCGGCGTGAGGTGGGACCTGTGAGAGGGGCGGGGCTCAGGCAGGACAAGGCGGGGCCCCAGGCAAGGTGGGGCGGGCCCCAGGCAGAGCAGGGCGGGGCCCCAGGCAGAGCAGGGCGGGGCCCCAGGCAGGGCCTTGGGGAGGGTCAGTAGAAGGGGCAGAGCCCAAAGCTCGGAGTTCTCCAGTAAGGCATCTGGGGCCACGGGCAGAATTTCGAAACGGCTCCGATCTCAGACCAGATCTGTGCTCTGGTTCCCTGGCACAGTGAGGAGTGCAGACCCAGCCTCACAGCGTCGGGGCATCTTCAAGGTCTTCAGCCTGCCAGCCAGCCAGCCTCGCCTTCTGCACTGGCCCCTCACTCTTCTCTGTTGGGGACATATCCTGGCCTGTGGCCTTCAGGCAACCCACGCTGGCTGCGTCTCCACGTCTGGGACCAGGAGAGACCCTTGGGAGTCTGGACCAGGCCTGGGCTTCCCAGTTGGTGCGCCTGGGAGTTTGGGTGTCAGAATAAGCTTTTGGCAAAGTATAGCTCTTGAAGCCTACCCCCCCTCCCCCCAGAACGTGGTTTTCCAGGCTTTGATGAAGCTGTGGTCTCCTAATGGCTGTTGTGAAATGGTAGGTGACGAAACATGGGCATTTTTTCCTTCATGGGCTTTGAATTCATTAAAAAGAAAACCTCCCTGCAACCCCAAAATCAATGGATTTGAGAAGCCTCTGGGATATAGGATCAAACCATCTACAGCAAATAAGGACAACAGTTTGACTTCATTTTGCAATACACGAGCCACTAAGGCACTTTCAGGGAGCAGTACAAGGAGAGGCGTGTGCCTGGAGCACCCGGAACCGCTCGTCCTCAGCTGGGGTAGCAGCTGGGCACCCCATCTTTAATTCTGTCCTGTCTCTCCAGCTCAGCCATCTTTTGAAATGTCCCAAATGTGGACATGAGCTTAAAACCTGATCTTCTGACAGCAAACTCATGTAGCTGCCTCGCTGCCTCTGCAGGTGACCTGGGCTTCCCAGGGACACGATACAGAAGATACTTGGCTCCAAGGGGGGAGGACACGGAATCCAGCAAACCTCCTTGCTAGCGCAGCCCTGAGTGGTATTAACTACCGATATTCAGACTTGTGGTTTCAGCCTCCCCCTGTGGATGCGTCTTAACTTCAGACACAGAGGCACTGGCAGCCAGATAATATGGGAAGTTGGTAGTAGGGTCAGCTTTAAGCGTTGAGGACAAAGTGATAACAAACTCAGCTTGCAAAGTGAGGCTGGGGTGCCCACTGGGGGCAGGAGGGATCCCCAGGAGCCAGAGGGGGCTGAGCCGCTGGCCTGACCACACTGGGTGCTCTGGAATCCAGACTGTTACGGGGCTGTCAATTTCATTAGCACTATGGGTTTCCTAAGAGGCCACCGAGGAACAAATAATGGAGCCACATCAGACCCGTTTGTCTGGATACTCTTCTGAATGGTCTTGGAATATAATCCCTTCCCGCTCTCCCCCTTAAAAGAACAATAGAGTCAGTTTCACAGGAGGGCTTCTTAAGACTGAGCAAGAATGTGTGTCATTCCCGTTGGATTTAGAAAACCACTGGGAAAGCATTCCAAACAATGAAATAAGGATGACCGAGGAGTTCATGGGCAGCTCTGTGGAGACGTCTCTGGAAGTTTCACCAGAGGCAGGACAGTGGTGGCTGTGTGGTCCCTGGACCGGGACCCCCTTCTGCCTGGCGTCTGCCCCACAGTGGGAGCTGCAGCTGGGCTGTCTAGCTTGTGAGTGGTGGTTCCTTCCGGGTAGTCTGCAGGCTCCATGGCGATCATCGGGAAGACCTCTCATGTCGAAGCTAACACAAGGCAGCTTTGTTGACTTGATTTCTATAGTGTCCTTGGCTGATGCTTCCTGTCTCGTCTTGGATCCAGTTCATTTGGTCAGATACCTGTGAACTTTGCCGGCACAGCTTAACTGCCAAACTTGGGCAACGAGGTGCCAAGCTCCGAGCCCTCTGAGCTCGGTGCCATCTGTGCCCAGCGCACAGAGCTGCCTATAAATTGCCTAGTGGGAGGAGGGA